GCTTAGTATTTTAATTAATTTATAAAATTAATTAATTATTGGGTCAGTCAATATGAGGATTATTTTATAATTTGCCTTAATTAATGAGGGTTTATCCTATGTTGTAGAGCTCGTTGTTCTGGACCCGATCGCGCAAACGGATTGTGAATCGGGCTTATTGGGTCCAAGATACTATTGACGAATCAAGTAATTGGAGTTAAACTTATCCAAATCGGTTAAGTATGTTAAGTGGACCCTAAATGTGTTTAATTATATATTAAACTAGCCTGGGAGTTACAGACACGCACAAACCTTTCCTTTCTTCCCTGCGTCCGTTTTCCTTCGCTGTTTTGCTCGTTCCCTCTGCGCAGGGGCGCCGACGACGAGAGGCGACCAGGAATCCGATGCCGCCGACCGCTGCCGTTTCTCTCTCTCTCTCTCGCTGCTGTTCCGGTTCGCGTGCGCCAGGCCGACGAGGAGCAGCGGCGACCAACCCTTCCTATCTAAGATCCGATTTCTTCAACTTTTGAGGTGATTTGTTGTTTTTATACCTTCCGTTAGCGTTAATTCATAGATTAGAACTTCCTTAACGTATAATTTAGTAATTGATTGTGAATTTGATTGTTAATTGATGAATTTGGTTGGGTTTGAAGAAATTGGGGGTTGAACACCGCCGGATTCCGGTGAGACGCCGGCGGCGGACGTCGGCAGGCCGGTCAGGGCTCCGACAGTGGTTTGGGTTGGCTGTGTGGGATCCAATTGGGTCCAATTAGTTCCCGTTGGATTCAATTTGGGTCTAATTGGGTTCAATCGGGTCCTTCCGGGTGCAATTGGGTGTAATCGATTCTGTTTGGACTCAAATTGATGCAATTGGGGCTGTTTGGGATTGTTCGGGTTGCTGTGAATCACCCAATAGGGCTTTTTGGTCGGGCTACGGGCTCGGGCAGCCGGGTCGGCTACCGGCGGTGGTGCCGGGGTTGGTCTGGTGACAATGGGGACTGCTCCGGCGGGGGCAGCGGGCTTGAGGATCGATTCCTTGGGCTCGATTCCGCGCAGGTAAGTTGGGTTAATTGTAATTTGGGTTTGTTTGATTATGCATGACGGTAATCGTGGATCTTTGGCCCGGATAGGCCGCTACGTGATTTGTTGTGAATTGTGAACTGAGATTTAAATTAAATTGATCTTATTGGTGAAAATTGTGGATTATGAATAATATATGGGAAATAGGCCACCTAGTATAATTAGGCGGACCGGAATTGGATTGACTGATTGAATCAACAATAGGATATGGTTAAGAAATTGGCCATTGCGGGGCGTCGTCGTACCCCTGGTGGTCTTGGGTTAAAAACGTACGTACGGAAGTCCGCGACCTGTCCTGGCATCGTAGGGACAGGGGCTTCAACCCGCCCAAAGTGAATCTCCTTTGGGTTTCCGAGCTGGCCCTTTTATAGCATCGCTTGGGGTGCCATGACTCAAAGTAGTTGATGTGGAATTAAATAAGGACATGATGTTCAAATGGAAGGTGATAATATAAATATGTTTATTTAAGCTATTTTCTCTGTGATCACATGATGTTGTTGATTGTATGTTAATGTGGTGCTATTCTGTGAGTTAATGCTGGCTTAGGTATATTTTCACTCAGCGTTTCGCTGAGCGTGTAGTCGTTGTTGTTTGACTGCACGCAGGTAGGAACACAGATTTGGATGGGCAACCCGGAGGGCAGTGAAGTGGTGGTGTGGCGTGGATGGCTCTTGTTTACTTTAATAATTAAACTGCATTATTTTATTTGATTATATGAACGGTTGAACATTACTTTGGTTTTCTTATGCTTCCGCGACGTTTGGATTTATTTAAATATTCTGGTGAATTCGGGTTTAGTTAAAACCCTACAGACGAATTTTACAATTGATTTAATTGTTCAATTTAGGAAAAAAAATTTAGGCATGTGAGCACCAACTTAGTAACAACCCGATTCGCTAACTCGTTGGTTCGGGTTATGCGGGTTGGGGTGTTACATTTTGGTATCAGAGAATGTGGTTTTAAAAACGATTCTTTGCCAAAATAGTTTAACTTATATTTAAAAAAAATTGTTTTTGTTTAAAAAAAATTATCAATTTTGAAAAAAAAACTATTATTTTAACACATATCGTATATACATGTGTCGAGCATCCACAGCTTCACTACGTCACTGCTCCGGGAGGTAATTCTGAATCCTTATTGTTGCTTATGTGATAATTATTTGTTGTCTTTAAAATTTACTTATTGGTTGGTTTATTAAGTTATATAGAGAAATACTTAAGTGTAGTGAATTTGGAGGGTGAAACTTAAATTAGAGTTGTATTTGGCGAGAAGAGAAAAAAAATGTGTGGATTTTGATATCTCAAATATCAAAGTCCTAATTTTGGTGTTGATGAACTAAAAAGGAATTTAATTTTGAAAGTTAGAGATATGGGAAATCTCCAACCTTAATTCACCACTATCGAAAACGAGAAAGACATTATCAAAATCGAATGGGATGAAGATGAGGAAACTTTGTCTCAACACATCAAAATCTTCTTATCTTCGCATCCAACTCTATGTCTCCTGCCCATGGGGCAACGGGAAAGTCGTGTCTCTAGTAGTGGATCTGGATCATCGACAAGGACGACCGATGAATATGTTTTCTATTCATAACCCATGCTCACCGTTTAGTTTCCTATACGTTTCTCTGCAACAAACGAGCCTAAGTCATAATTCACAATTATCCATGACAACTAGTGCGATCATGTTATATTAATAATTGTGAGAAAGAATATATTATATTACATGTTGATAAATATGTGTAAGAGTTAGTAAAAAAACATAGTCACAGTTGAAAATCTCAACCAGCGGAGTCAGATTTAACACGCTAGTACTTGGTTCGTATAAAGAATGTAAATGTGATAGGAAAAAAAAGGTGGTATAAAAGAATGTAGATATGAACTTAGTTGCCGGTGCCAACTTGAGGGAAATGGATAACTCACAATTATCCTCGAAGTTGATTCTGATTAATTACAGACCAAATTTGTTGTGCTGAGGCTCTCAAAAGATAATTAGTTTTCTCAAAATTGTAGCATCACGCCACCAAAGACTTATTAATGCTTAATATTGAATTACAAGGTGGCTCAATAGTATGAGATGAATCACACAACACAAATAATCTAGAAGAGAATAACAGGATATGTACTAATTCGCTAAACTTTATATATTGAAAGAAAAAAATCTCATAGTTGAAGATTTATAACTACCACCATGTTGTAAAGTATATGTAAAACTTGGTGTCTAGAATGAAATGTTCCCAACAAATAATTGTTGAACGAGGAAAAAGAAAACAAATATTATGGGTTGAACAATTAGGATTAACTCTAAACCAAAATATTTTGGTTAATACACATAATTTGAAGCAAATGAAAAAAAACTTATAAGTTATAAGCTACTTAATGAACTTACACAGCTAATAATAAATATCATATTGAGCAGTGGTTCACAAGAAAGAATTTTTGAATTAGATAGTTTTACAGGTAGTTACCATATATTAAAAAAGGGATTTATCATATATTTAGACTACGTGAGAGATTACTAATAGGTTATCTTAGTATATATAATAGATAAGTGAAGTGGACCGACGTTAGATTAAATTTGAAGAAAGTAGCTTCTAAAGGTTACTTTTAAGAATTTAAAAGTTTGACAATTATGATACTTTTAATGAGATTAATTTGCTAACAGCTAATTATATAATACAATAACAAATTGTGTGTATGAATCAACTAAATGAGGGTTGCTCAAAAAACAAATTGCAAAGGGGTTTCAACTACGCTCTTTTAAATTGGTGATGATAATATTTTAAGTGGTAAGTGACTTTGCAAAAAAAAATATATAAAGTAACTTCAAGAATAATTTCGGGTAATCTTGAAATTAAATTTGTTCAATCCATGCGAGAAAAGGGTATATTGTAGCACTAAGGTAAGATGTGAAATTGGTGGCCTAGTGGCATCATTAAAAAAAAACTTTATCTAGCATTTAATTGAATCGCTGAATACTGAAATGACAACCAAATTCTGAAGGGGCTGCAGACTCGGATGAATGAGGGTGTTTTATTTCGGTGTCAGACGAGGATAACAATATGAGGTTATGTGTAACGAAATAAAAAAAACAATACGTTTCCTCTTTACAAAAAAGAGGTTAAGAAATAAAGTTTGTAAAAGGTTATATTTTTCAAGGTAAATTATTACTTTCATAAAAATAATTATTTTAAGATTGGGTGTTAATCCCTTAGATAAGCGGCGTAGTGATTAAGTCACTTAAACATTTTCACTAGAGAACTTTTGATAAATGACTAAAACGGTCATTTTGCACACACACAAAAAAAGAAAAAAAATACGTAATGTCATATCCAAAAAAAAGGTGAAACGTAATGCCGTGAAGTATACCATAGGATTTAGTTTTAATTATGTAACAAATCGTAATTTTAATTTTTGTGTAAAATAAATACTAAAAAAACAACAAAAATGTCAGTGCTAAAAACAAATTATTTTCAAAGTTAAATTTGGTGGAAAAATTCATAATTGAATTGAAAGTCCCGACAAGACAAGTTCGTTGGCGTATTCCACGTGTGAATCTAAATTATGGAAGTTAGGGAATTGCCCGTCCCAAGATCGAGAAGATTTTAAAGTGAACGAGTAAAATACAAGGGTGACGTAGAAATTATGTTTACTCACGAATCCTGAATCGTTGGGTAAATTTTATAATAGAACCTTTAATAACAAAATAAGAAATTTCCACCCCTAAATGTGAAATCATCACGGAGTGATACTTTCCAAATTAAAGGCCCATTTACCAGATTTTTACCAATTTAGTTAGCACTCTCCATCGTATCATCTTCTTCTCGTTTCTTCGTTTTTCATATTTGCCAGGGAGAAATACCAGAGTATTCTCCAAATATTCTATATCAATTGAATTGGGAGTATCTTCGTCATACAATTGGGTATTAATAAGATTTATCATGTCCTGTAAGAAAACTATTGTGGCCCGTTGTGAAGGGAGAGATCTTTGAGTTTACAACACGAGTTTGACTTGCAAGCAAGTCAAAGCCAAGCATTGAATACCGTCAAAA